ATCAGCAAATTTTTTACAGAGAATTAAATATTTATAGGGAGATGATTCTACAACTCAGCTTCTTAACTACTACTATTAGGGTTAGGATTAGGATTCACTCGGTGATACTACCTGGGCCAACTGGTACAATCTTAAGCCATTCTATGACACCGATACCCGCTAATAACGACCATTTATCTGGTTGAAAACATCCAAGGCGGCTGGAAAGGGCAACTCAGTATTTACTGTGTAATGGGAGACTGAATCAAATTGAAAACCCATGAGATGATGAACAGGCTCTATCTATTAGAACAATGTTCTTCATTCTGCATTTACAACCACTGCAAGATTATTTCACCTAAATAGATACAGTGATTCACAACTATTCAAGTAATAAACCCGTATTGTTATCGTGGTGACAACAGTCTATGGCAAACCATTTTTAATATGTATTAGTAAAATTTAATATGGATTACTGATATCTGAAAAAAACAAACATTTTCTCATGTTGAAATCACCTTTTCAAACAAAATGACATTCTTCACATCTAGAATAAACATTCTGGATGTCTAGAAATTAATTTCAGATCTTCATATTCTTATTGTTACCGATCAGCTTTTGTATTATTTTGACTTTGAACAAATGTATTTCAGATATTATAAATATATATTGAGTCAAATGCCAAAATGTCCACTTTAAATTTGTAAACTTTTCTAGGTATATACAACTTAATTCTTACTAGCATAATTTTATTTTATTTTTTCTGAAATTCAATTTCTCCTGCAAAAATATAATTTTGAAAATATATTATTACAGTTAGTTCTAGGGGTGCGATTTTGATCTGGGAAGAATCTTATTTTAGTGATCTACAAATGAAACAACAGAGAGGAGAGTGCTTTTAAGAAATTATATAGCTATAGATTCTGTATTCTGTATATATATCGAATTTGTCTGCACCATCAATACCAAGTCAAAATAAATCTGATTCTGATTCTGAAATATAAAAAGGCCTGCCATAACCCACTACATATAAACTGATGCATTCACTCGAGCAACAATCTTCTCCTTCGCTCCTCCTTTACAGCTGCAGCTGCATTCTTCTCTTTCTTTCTTTCTTTCTTTCTTTCTTTCTTTCTTTCTTTCTTTCTTTCTTTCTTTCTTTTTCATTTCTTAATTAACATCTCTAGTTTCAGTGGGTTGAAATAGGCCCTTCGTGTTGCCTGTTTTCATAGTGACTCATTGAATCGGGGCTCTGCTAATGACGGCTTTTTAAACTTGTCACAAATGCACTTAACTCTGAGTGGACCTACTTAGACTTGATTGAACAAGCCATTGTGAAAGCGAAAACTCAGAGTTCCCGACTTTAGTCTAGATCAATTTAGCATTGCGGATTTGAATCTGCTTTTTGTTACGGACCCCTGTCTTGTTTTATTTAAAGAGCATGGTGCGCAGGCTGGTCATGACGTGGGACAATGCTTTTCTATTTTAATTAACAGCCAGCTTGGCTCTGTGTCAATAAATGCAGCTCTGCTTTAATTACACTTAAGAAAAAAAACTGTTGAATATTTTGGGGGAAACCATTCAAATACTGGATTTTGTTTCAATTTGTGGGGAAACAGCACAAAAACAAAAAAACTGTTCAGTATTCATAGAGAGTCGGATATAAGCAGATGTCCAAGTCTTTAGATTCATGTGATTTCAATTTTAGATGCGCCATGTGAAAACGGAGCCGTTTTCCCCCTCTGTTCCCAAAGTATAGCCGCCGTCTATCACACACAGTGTCACATCCTTTACTACATTTCCCAGCATGCACCACAGACCGGCCGTCATGGCGGCGGCAGTTCCAAACATTTCACCCGGTAATTTACACTAGTTCTGAAATTACAACGTCACCTTTCATTTAACATTTTTCTTACTCACCAGCGTAGCGAACTCTGAAAGTATCCACTGCGTCAGCATTGGAGCCAGTCTCTTATCCATTGTCCCAGGGCATTGGAAAAGACTATTAGGGGGCAGGGGTGTTAAGTGGGATTTCAGTGTGTGTAATAATTGTTTGCATGGTAATGTTAGTATGGTTAAAATATTTCATAAATATGTACCGTATGTTTTTGTATGAATGATTATATTGTCTGTATTTATTTTTCTACAATGTTAACTGTGGTTTATTATGGGATTTGCCTTCCTGTTTAGTTGGGCTGTCCCAATTGGCTGATTATTGGTGGGTCTATTTAAGGGGCATACTCACAATGTCTTGAGAGGGCTGCTTGGAGGGCTGGTTGGAGAAACTGCTTTGGAAGGTCTGCTTTAAAAAAACTATATTTAATGTCAGCTTGCTGTGAGGCTGTCAGTTTTTTGTATTGCCTGCAATGGCCGGTTTTGTTTTCTTTATTTGAAAGTATTTCGTTTGTTTTGTTGTTTTTTTTTTGTCTTCACCATCGCCAGTAAATAAATTGCTACACGCTTCTTAACTGGAATTTGGTCGTCCGCTGGTTCTTACCATTTAACTTTTTTGCTAGTCATCTGCTTACTCCTCCTCCGACGTGAGACGGGAGCTGGCGAGCCGTTTTTCTCACACGCCAACATAGACAGTAAATAGCAAACGCTGTCACAACAGCTTAATATTAATCAGTTAATCCTGCTGTGAAGCCTGACTCTGATAAAAACATAAAAGAAAGAAAGAAAACGCTTTAATCCTTTTTGTCACATACTGATCTTTAGTTGTTAGCCATGGTCTTCATTGACGACATTTCTTTAGCTTCACTTTAAGAAATAATCCTACAGTTGTTTGCTGAAATCTACCTCTTTATGGTGATTCGGGAAAGGGTCTCATGGAACACAGACAAAGCAAACTTAGCTATATATTATCAAATAAAGACATTTTAAACATTGTTGGGGAATTGTGTTTGATGATCATATGCATAAAGTCAAAACTCCAGTGTGCACACTGGTATGACTGCAAGTATCTTATAGTTTCAAAGCAACCCTCTTTGGAAATGTTTCCATTGATCTGTAGTCATTTCTTTTCAAATAGATTCTGGTAATAAAATAAAGGTGAAAGCCAGAGATCGTTGTACAGACAGATGAAAATAATACATGTTTTTACCTGCTACTCTTTGTTTCTCTGCAGAGGAGAAGATCAGTTGGAAGAAGGTGAAGATACTGTGTTTGTGGACCTGGCTGTACGCCTTGATCTGGGCTCTGTTCCCTATTCTGGGCTGGGGCCGGTACGGTCCGGAGCCCTTCGGCCTCTCCTGCTCTCTCGCCTGGGGACAAATGAAACATGAGGGCTTCTCTTTTGTCATCTCTTTGTTTTCCATGAACCTGCTGATGCCTTCTATCATCATCATTTTCTGCTACTTTGGCATAGCTATAAGGCTTTATTTCACCTACAAGAAGTCGCCGACCAACAAACATGTCCCCAATATCATCAAACTGCATCGAAGGCTTCTAATTGTAAGTTACCGTACTGTTCTTTATGACCTAATTAATGACAGTTTCTGGAGCTAAAGGAATTCAGACCAAATCAATTGAGTTCCACCTTTTAACAAGCACAACTATTTGATTCAGATGGGAAAAGGAAGGATTTCAAGTATGATTAGTCCTCATTAATGGGATTTTCTTGCTAATATGATGGGAAGCTGCTGTCTCAAGAACACAAGCTTTGTTTTCATGAGATACTCAGAGGACTGTGGTTTTTAAAATGATTGGTTCTTGCCTTATATTCAATTTGGCTCAGCTCAAATGTCATCACACTTGTTAATGACCTGAATATGCCAGCATACCCTGTAGTTTCATTTTGATGATTAATACTGATAAAGTTATCAAGACATCATTTAAGGTGGGGGGGGTTTAGCATAATGGGGTTATTAAAGCTAATTAGGTTCAGTTTTCTTCAGCTAAGAGCATTTATGTCACTTATTTCCTGGACTAAATAGTAAACATGTTGCTATGCATGACAGCTGCATGAAAACTGCTGACTGTATCCTACCAGCCGTTACATTTCCCTGGTTAATAGAAGAGAACTTGGAGATTAGATGTCGTTATGGAGCCGATAAAACAGTTTGAGAATTGTTAGAGAGGGGGGAGACCTTCTGATGGAGTCAACTGATCAGTGTCGCTGCAGTGAGCGTAAAAGAGCATCAACGCATGTGAGTGTGATGGGAAAGAATAATAATGATTCAGTTTAAGAAACGCTTTGTGGGAAAAATTCCTAAAGCAGTGTGCATGCACTATTTTTATCCAGATGCATCCCTGTTCCAGATACAAGAGGTGATACAAACTGAAATAAAGCAAAAATGACCATTAAGTGATTAAGTGATCATCAAGGGGTCACAGTTTTTTGGAAGTGCTTTTTGTTTCACACATTAGATTCTGAAATGATTGGAAAATATTAAAAAAGAAATTTCTTAACAGAGAGGGAGGTTCTGAAATGTGTTTCTAAATCAATAACTGATTCTGCTCTTGTTTTTTTTTTTATAAGTGCAGGAGCATTTTTTCAAAAGCAGTAAATTTAGTTTTAATTGTTTCACTTCTAATTATAAATATAATTGTTCTGAAGACAACAAGTCCCTATTTAAATGAAAATGTACTGGATAGTATAAGTTTTTATGTAATATGTTGATTTAGGATTATTTCAAGATGAAAACTGAAAAAAAATTTCATCTTCAGTACATCATTTATTTCTGAACTTTCTATAAGACATTTTTTGTCTCTAAATTCTTCTGCCTCCCTCAGTTGCTTTGTACAATGAAGATTAGTTGTTTTTAAGATCTCCTCTACATTAGAACCACTTCTTGTTTCAGTGTTCAGAGTCAGAAAATCTTTTAATATACCCAGGGGGTAAGTACAATTAGAGCAAAGAGCTGAACATCAAAAACAGCATAATAAGCGGCAAATTATGCAACAGGCACTGTACCCCACGACATAAGCTGGAATCTTAAGTTATTTAAAACCTTTAAAATTCAACAGGGGAATAGCTCAAGGAACAAATTTTGGTTTTCTTCGAAGGGTTTTACATATCAGACAGCAGAAGCTGTGATCAGAAAGCTGCCGTTTGAAGGCTGGAGAGCACGTAGGGTCACTAAGAATTTCATCAGCTTCCTTGGGGAAATTTGTTTCAAACACAGGAACAGAATAAAAAAAAAAAAAAGTTTGAACATTTTCTTTGATTAAATGCATGATATTTTTCTACCCTATTTTAAATCCTGGCACAGTTTTTTTTAAAACGCCAAACTTACAGCCTGCTTGATGGGATTTGCCTTCCTGCAGCTTGTGTGCAGAAATAGCTCTAGTTTTTTGACAAAGCTAATGTAAATGGTAAATATATGCTAATGTGTTTTCTAAGACTGTTAATCACATAGATTTGCATACATATTGATAAAAGGTTTGAATGTAAATTGGTGCAACAGTTTACTGACATTTTCTTTGGTTATATATACATTCTGTTCTTTAAATAATAGTTTTCCATCCATATATTCTTTTTTTATTATTATCATTTTCCATCCATATATTCTTATCCACCACCCTAATAGGTTCTTGTTACTTATATTCTTTAGATATGCCTATGTATAATAAGGCAGGGAGGAAACCACATTCTTATTCACTCAGTATTTAACAAAGCTGACACAATGAAATATAATGATGTGCAGTTTTTGTTTTTTACTCAACATATGGTAAAAATAGAGACATACATGTCATGGAAAAACCCTACTAAACTTGAGAAAAGTCAGATTTTAAAGGAAACAGTCAATTAGTTGTTAGTAGAACAATGAGAGCAATCAAATTTACATTAACTTATAGATATTTAAACTGTTTCAGAGGAGTGATCACAGCGCTCTGTGTCATCAGCGATGTGTCTGTCTCACGGCCAGCTCCCAGGTTTGATTAATACTTTGTAATAAATACATGAATAAATCACAAACATACTCAGTTTTGCTCCCGCTCTATTTTTAAATACGCAGTAGAGGTATATAAAACCCGCGCCCTATACAGTAATCCGGTGTGCCTTATGTGTGTGTTAAATACAGTAATGGCACACATAACTGAGACTGCGCCTTTTAGTACAGTGCGCCTTATGGTCGCGAAAATACGATAATAGATAAATCGCATCCCTTGATCTTATCTGTTGCTGGGTAGATTTTTTTTACATTTTTTTTTAAAGAGCTTCCTGAATGGGAAGCGAAACGTCTTTAAACTTGGAAACAAAGTCCAGTGGATTGTTTCTTTTAACGTTTTTGGATTGCCAGGTAGAGCTGTTAATCCCCAATACTACCTGTATAAATATGACCTTACCATTCTCTATTGACTATAAAAAAAAAAATAAAAATAACAGTTAAATGATTATGCATCTTCAGTTAAAATCCAATCAAAATATTTAAACTGGATTTTTCAACAAAATAAAGCAGCTAATCTTAGAGTTTACTTAGTATTGAAGTTTACATCTATAAACTAATTCCCAATGTTAAGATGTATAAAAACTAAATGTATATATACTGTAAATAGATTTCCTTAACTAATGTTTTTAGAGATTGTGTGTAGTTTGAGAATTATACATGATGCATAAGCTTTTGTTTGTATACGTCATGATTGCAGATACCTTTGGGTATTGACCCCTGTTGTATCTTGAGACTGAGTGATGTGCAGACTGGAGGGATATGACCCCTTTTTTATTTACTGATGTCAAATGATGTCAGTCACATTTTTTAGAACCTGAAACCAAAAACAACAGAAATGTTTAAGACAATCAGCTAAAGAAATCTTCTTTGAACCATTAAAGTATTTGTGTTATATTTCCACATACCCAGTGGGACGTCTTTTTTACTGACCGTGTCCTGATGTTCTGCTGCAGATCGCTGTTTTGATCAGCGCTGGCTTCCTAGGCTGCTGGGCGCCCTATGGATTGGTAAGCCTCTGGTCCATTTTGAATGACAGCAGCAAAATCCCTCCTGAGGTCAGTCTGCTGCCTTGCATGTTTGCGAAGAGCTCCACCGTGTACAACCCTTTGATCTACTACTTCTTCAGCCAAAGTTTCAAAAGGGAGGTGAAGCAGCTGTCATGGCTCTGCAGAGGCTCCAATCCGTGCAGGGTTACCGACAGCGTCAACGACAACAACATTTACATGGTTAGCGCTAACATCAAGTCCAAAGAAGTAGCGCTTGAAACTTTGCAGGAGATCACAGAGTCAACAAAGTGACTCTGGGGTAAAGGAATCGGGACATGCATCAAATCTAAGACAGCAAACTTATCAACTCTCATCTTTTCAGGATAGAAAATCATCTTCTGCATTTTCTTTTTCATCACCAGATAACGGGGGTCCTCTGGTGCACTGGCAGGATGAGTAAAAAGCACTGTGTTAAATGTTGTGAATGTTCAACCAACAACAATCATGAAAGTGTATTAAATTCAAGCTTGGAGTTTGCACCCGTAAAGACTTCTGGGTACATTTACAGAAGAAATGATGACAACAGTTTTAAATTTTACGTTATACTTTATTAGTTCTAGCAGGTTTAGCAGTAAAAGTGATATAGCGGTGAAGAGGTGGCTGAGAACAAACTCAGATGTAACATCGACATAAACACAGAGAAAGTTCATTGTTTGATTCAACAACTGTGCTGTCCTTGAAGTCCACATGGATGCTGCCTCTAAATTCATGCAAGAACACAAGATTGTAAGAAGCTGCTATTCTTCTGCTTAAACCTCATATTGTGATGTGTAAATATATAAAAAAAAAAAACGTCAGAACATGCAGTAATTGGTATTATCTAGCTGTAACCACACACTCTGAAACAGACTTGTAATAAAAGTGTAACTATACTCTTAAAATCAATTTTATTTACCCAGTAATACATTTTTTTAAAGGCGTATAAGTGCTAATGTTACATCAGAAAAGCACAATTTAGGGGGAAAGAAGAGCAGGAATAAGTAGGACTCAGGGGCTCTGCTTCTACGTATGTCAAATTTCAGATTAAGGGTTAAATCTCATTCCTAGCTATTTATTTATGTCGTTATCAGACACTCCAAAGATGGAGCTTTTCTCGCTGTTTTACCAGAATAGTGGCTAAAATGTGGGTAAAAACACCTGGTTATAAACAGAGTCAACACATAAGTAAATGCATTTTAAAAGTCACTGTTTGTGTACTTTAAGTGACTGGTTACATCATGTATTGCATGTTGATACTGTTAAAGCCTTGTATGACAGACATACTGAAGAGCACAGTAACACGGTCTTACCACCACTTCTAAATGTTTTCCACACTACAGATAGCTCATAAACTGGAGAATACTTTAGCACCATAAAGCTGTTTATTTGTTTAGCTGTTGGACATTTATATTGGCCCAATAGATGTCGATTTACAATGACACAATAAACCTTTAAACCATCCACCTTTCTGCTCTGCAACTGTTTATATATGTTCCCCCATCATGTTTTGGCACATAATCCTCATCCAGTAAATGTTAAACAGACTGAACACAGCAATCAGTTACGTTAAGCACATTGATCAGCAGATTAACATGTTTTAATGCTTGTAGTTCCTAATTGGTGGCACCCTAACAGGGAGCCTTGTTGAAAGATAAACTTAATTTGCTGTCAGAAACTGTTTTTTAATCTGCATTATTTTTGTATCTTCATCCTTCTTTCCATTCACCCTGATTAGCTTCCCTGTTCTTACTGAATAATATCCCACAGCATGATTCTGCCACCACCATGTTTCAGCCCTCTATTCAATTTTTGTCCCATTTAACCAGAAGACCCTCTTTAATTGGGGGTGGTGAATACAAGAGCATCTCACACTTTAATCATTTTAAGATTGGAACCAAAAAGCTTTTGAAAACCACATATCATTATATCTCCTTATCAAATGTATGCAATGCTTTGCTTTGGTCTTAAAGCTTAATAGGTCACCCAAAAGTCTGTTATTTAAATGTGACAATGCCAATAATATCAAAATACTCTTTCAGGACACTGTACAATTAATAACCTATGAAGATATAAAGATTGAGACATTGCTTAATGTCAAATACACTCTGACCAAACCAACACACTGTAGCTTAATACGGAGTATTTAATGCATTTGGTCAGAAGGATGGATTAACATAGTTTTTCTTTGCTGTCATATTGCTAAAAAGACTGCAAAATATTGTTCATAAAGCACCTTTTGCTGTAAATTAACATTTTCACCTGGTTACTATGTATTTTAACCAGGACCACTGCACCCTAACCTGAGAGTTTACCAAGTCTCCTTGTATCACCTGTAATGAATAAATGTCAAGTGATTTAACATTAGTTTATGTTCCAAACTAACAGTTCTAAGTTGGGCTTTGTTAAAACTTTATGAAGTATTTATTTCTAGACTACTGACCAAACCTTTCTAATGGTGTCTGTACGCCACTGTAAGACTGAACGGTTCACTAGTGGCATCTTTTGCTGGGGAAGTCTGGTTCGTTTATGTGCAACTAACCTCTGATGCAGATTAAAGAAGAGAACCCTGGTTTGCAAATAAAAGGGTGTCAGTGCCCTCTAGGGAACTCAAATGCAAAAACCTGACTACAAAACAGCCTTATGGATTAACAAAATCGGAAAAAAGGAGTGTGTAGCGAGAAAACTGACAGAAATACCCCAGAAGTAGAGGGAGGATGAAGTAAAAGCTGCCACCTATCTATAAAGGTGTTTGACTTGATTAGAATAAGCTGCATCTCAGGAGATGAAAAGGTGTCATTCTTGATATTCTCAGGAACACGATAGTTATAGAGGGGAAGACTTCATTCAAAAAGTCTGCTTTGAATAATTGTATGGAGAGAAAAATGGCAACCCTAATATAACTAAGTCCCCAATCATCTCAGGTCTACAGGATCATTAGGTGACGTCTTCACAGTTTTGGTACTGGGAAGTATGAGCCAGGTCAACAGGAAAGATTTCCTTATGTTAAAACAACAGCAAATCTTTCAAAGATGTCACATTGTTTAATAGAGAAGGTATTTAGTGAAACCTTGAAGTGCAATCACCTTTACGTTGAATTAATAATTCCATATACACCAATTCCACCTTAGCATTCAGACTGTTCATGCAAACGTGACAGAATGGATCAGTTTCAGGAGATCAGCCAAATCTAGTGGTATCTCTCTGCTGCTTATTCCCCAGCCAGCTGTTAGTGGTTTCATAATAGAGTGAAAGCAATTGGAAAGGACAGCAACTCTGCTCCAAAGAGCCAAGTCTTGTAAAATCAGAGGGATCAGGTGATGCGAGGTGTGTGGTGCAAAGAGTCCACCTACTTACTGCAAACCCACAGCTGCAAGAGTGCAGAGTTTTAGGGAAACAATTTGCCTGTTTGATAAAGCTAAACTCAACCCTTATGTCCCAAAATGATGTGGTAAAATGGATGCCTCCACTGAGCTTTGAATCACGCTTTCTGTCTGGAAATCCCACATATTTGTCTTGCTTTGACAGTAGACAGAGGAGCGGTACTTATCTGACTGTATTGTGTTGAGCTTTACAATTTGGTGCAGAAGAGACTGTGGTATGGTGAGCTGATTTTCAGGATCAGGTGTACAGTAACTCTTAATGCTTCAGCAGCCTATACATTTTAGATATTTTTGTCAGATTAAGACTCTGCAGGAACAGTTGGGCGGAGGTACCTGTTCAAACATGACTGCAGCCTTCTGCACAAAACAAGTTGTTCAGGGGCATGGATACCAGAAAGAACCAGAAAGAATACCTTGAAGTAAAGACTACTGGCAAACCTCATACACCAAATCCCATGAACACATTCCTAAACCTAGTGGACAGACTTTTATTCTTGGCACCAAAGCCAAGCTGTCAAATTAATCTTAAAGCAAATGAGAAGCCAAATGGAACAAAACACATAAAAAGAGAGTAAGAACAGGTATAGAATAAGAACATTACATTGTTATTATACCCCACATTGTGCACAAGATTCAGCAACTCTTCTTAGTCTTGTTCTTTTCCTTTGCATCAATGTTTTTTAAGTCCAGTATTCTTTGTCATTTCAGGAACTTTAATCTGCATGTGCCAAAATGTTCTAAAACTTTACATCGACAGACCTAATATTACTTTTTAAGACTTAGGAGAGCTACAGTACATTCTGCAGGTTACAGTCTCTTTTAACAGAGCCTAGCGTAGAAAAAGAGATTTTAAATTCACTAATCAATGCTTTGGAAAGATGGAAATAAAGGAGACATCTGGCAGGCATATTTTGGGATTTGCATCTTTGTCATTCCAAAGAAAGGAGCAGTTATTTATTGTACTGCTCTCATCTGCATTTTGTTAAATGAATCTGTCTGGAAGATGTTCTTTTTTGTTTTTGAAGTACTGTGTGGTGTGTTTCAGCATCTGTTAATATGAACTGTTCTCCTATTGGCTGTATATTTTTTGTATGTATTCATTGATTTAAGAAAAAAAAGAAAAAATATAACTTTTTCCCTCCACAGTAAATATGTATAATTTTACTTGAATTTTTGTGAATGTAACTTTTTTTTTTCTTGAAATAAACTACTGTTGACTATTTTCTTTAGGATTTTGTGAGTTTAAAGCTCAGAATCTTGAGCATTTCTACGTGCACAAATTGTCATTCTAATAAATGCAGAATAAACACAAGCTGTCGACTATATCTCAAGTTTAATTATTTAAACGAATACAGTATCAATCTTTAATATCATTTTGTGTATTTTACACCAATGTTTACACAAGAGACGTTTATATGTGCATGCTCATTGTGGTTTATCATTTATTCCTAGTAAATTTTTGCTGTCAGTGTTTGCCTGTGAGGCAATTTCTCCGATTCGTTTTTTTAGGGTGATTTTCAAAGCAAAAAAAACTGAATGTGACGAAACGTCATGTACTGTATGCCCTTAATCTTGTTTTCAAACCCTATATATATCAAGAAGATTATCACAAATGTTGAAAAATAAACCCTACAACCCTGCTTAAATTTGACCTTTATTCAAACTAATGAAAGGAAAAACATATAGCAGTACATTTTATCGTAAACATAAAATGTATTACCATTTTTAAGCCGTAAATGGATCCCTGCAAGAATATAGATTTTGCATTTTTTCCTTATTTTGTCATACTGAAATGAAATTTTAAACGTATTTTGTGATTGAAAAGTTGTGCATCCAGCGACAAAAACAGAAGTGTGACATGGATTACAATTTCACAAGCTTAACTCTCAAACCCTTAATACATCCCAGGCTTCCAGAACTTTTGTAAAAGCCTTAAAGTTCCCCTGGTGAGTAAAAAGCATAATGAGGACTCAGGGACACAGCAGACAGCTCATTGAGAAGCAACTAAATCATTCATCTGAAAATGGCTAGATGGGCCAGTACCCTAAAGCCATGTGGGGGGGCACAGCAAAGATGTGGAAGAAGGTTCTCTGCTCAGCTGAAACCCAAAAGGAGTTTGTGTTTTTTTTTTTGCTGACACGCAAAGGTCAGAGAACAAAGACTCCACTTCACCTCAACACTGATAAAAAGGCCAAAGGCACAACCGTAGTGAGCCATGGGGAGGCTATGCCTCAAAGCTGAGAGAGCAGCTGATCAGAGATGCTAGGAAGAAGCCTGCAAGTAAACAGAGAGGATTCTGGGAGAGGGAATGTGTGTGAATATCCAACTAGAGCTGCTACTGAATGGTTCAAATCATAGCATGTTCAAGTGTTAGAAAGACCTCGAGAAAATCTACATACAAGATTCAAGACCTAAAAATCTCAAGGATTAACAGCATGTTGAACTTTACTACTGTATATAAGAGGTGAGTGAACAGTTTTCAAAATCTAAAGACACAAATATGTCTAAATAATGGTGACCTCTTTAGATTTCTACAGGTCCACCATCATGTTGAACAACTGATTAAAGAGATTAAAACAAGAGCAATGGGATAACATTGTAATAAAAGTATTTATGGATGCATACGTTTACTCTAAGTCCTGGCCAAAAAAAAACATCTCAAAACTCTATAGGGGTTTGCAACTAATGAGGGGCAGTACACATACTTTAAATGAAAAACATTGGGAAAAATGATGCCAGATACAACTGAAAACTTCCAACTAAATGGAGAGAGTTTTGTTGCAAAACTCTTTGGTAGATTCTTTATTGCTCCAGCTCAAGAAAGACACTATACCAATGCATCAATATGTCGGAGACAATGTGGAGGCCTGGAAGTGAATCATTATCACATATTCTGGTCTTGTCCAATATTGTTACCTTTCTGGCAGAAGATCTACAATTATGCAAAATGTATTTCAGACAGATATTAATTTTGGGTTGGTGACATATTTTGGTGTTTTACCATCACAAAATTTATCTTCTAATGAAAAATATTTATTTCGGATACTAAGACCTACAGTGGACGAATGGTTTGACATTATAACATCTTTAAGATGGAAATTATTACATTTATTTTAAGACTAAGAAGGGATCTGTTTATTAAAAGCTGGGAAAGATATGCCACTCCAATCTGTCCATCCTTTCTATAGTTCTTGTATCCATTTCCGTTCTTCCTCTTTTTTTCTAAGCCTTTCCTTTTTTAACCCTTATGCATCAGTGAATTATTTACTTTATTTTCTCATTGTATAACAGAAGTGCACCCCAGCGTTTTTGGTCTTAGCCAAAAGAGTTATGTTTGTAATCTTTGTATGTTATTAATTTTGGTTTTTTTTTGTGTGTGTTTGTGTGATAGAGGGAAAACCAATCATCCCTATCTATATATCCTGTGGAATTGCAGATGTTTACTGGACAATAATGTTGTAATGAATGGATTGCTGTAGATGACTGGTGTATTGTTTACCAATCGAAATAACAATGAAAATAGAATTGGAAAAAAAAAATAAGAAAGACTTAAGAGAAAATCAATACCTAAATCTGGATGGAGAAAGAAACTGATGCTGACAGATGCCATCTACCTAATCTGACTGGTCATAATCCTTTGGTAGAGACACATCCCAGCAACAATTAAACCAAAAAGTGATTCTACTATGTATTAACCTAAACAAATTTTAAAACATTCTTTTTTTCTTCAGCTTCATAAAGATGCAAAAATTTGTTTGTCTAACTAAATCATGATACATTCAATAAAAAAATCATAGAAATGAGG